TTGAAAAACAAGTTGATTAATAGGCAGAATAGCTGATGAATATGTAAGTGCTCTGTGGGATTTTCAAAGTGCTAATGGAAGTTTTTGCAAGTTGCGGAGAGAAAAGTAAAGTAATTATCATATTATATCCCTCTGCTAGCTTAATCCTACATTAGTCATTGCAACGCGATAATTATCTTAATAAGTATAATGCAAGATTATGGCATAATTTGTGATTTTCTGCCATTACAGTTCTTTTTGTGATGAAGAATTTAGCACAGAAAGAGTTGTAAGCAAGTGAGAGTACTTGCTTGATAATTGTAATGTGAGTAAAAGTAATAAATTTAAAATAAAAAAGTAAAGTAATGCAGTTTGTTGTTAACAGTTACTGTTGCTTAGCGATGATAAAAATGATAATCAGAGCAGTGATAAAAACTTCGTGTGAAGTCTTCAGAATTGTCTGTGTGCAGCTTCATTTTCCTCAAGCTAATCCACGCAAAAAAGCACTCACTCACTTTGCATCCTTCTCAAAGTAGAGTTATAACAGATCCTCGAACTTTCTGCTCACTTTTTGCAGCACAAATTTTGCGATCAGAAACAAAGCAAACGACGAATACATTCAGACATGCATTGATCTTACTTCCATTTATTTGTTTTGCCTTTTAATTCAATACTCAAAAATTTATTCATTTCTACTGCATTTTTAGATAAAAAATTTGGCATGGATATTGATTAGTAATAGCAGAAAGTAATACAAAAATAATTAAACGAGTAAGCTTTTGTGTACAGTTTTAGTCCAAAATTACTTGAATAATGTGAAAAGAAAGGATTTTCTACACATTTCAGCAGTACAATTTTTGGTGGCCAGGTAAGAAAGTTCACTGATCTATTCATTCCTATTAGAGTAATTAAAGGGGGCGAAAAGCGATAAAGAATCTAGAATAAAACGCGAGAATTGGCCCCATCAGAACAGGTAGGTTGAATAGCAATACAAGTTTCTATCAGTTCTACTTCAGACAAATTCAGTATTGTGCAGTTAACTACAGTCAATTATACTTTAAAATGTTATTCAGTTTATTGCAGTCATTCATAACTGCTATGGCACTGATATAGTAATTGCTTTGGTAATGAACTGAACTAACTTTTGCATGAGTTGATGACGTTTAAAATAGGTAGACGTGAAAAACAACGAAAGTGTGAAGTTAAATAAAAATTGAGTAGCACTTCTGCTTCACAGCTTCTAATTCTCTATGGACTATTATAGGACTAATAAAATTCACCATAGCAACTGTTAAATATTACAAGTTCCAGTTTGCAAAATCGAAGTTATTTCAAATTACAAAAATATACATTTTAAAATCAAACAGAACAATAAATTTTCACTCTTCGTTATAATTAATTACAGTTAGTTTGCATGTTGTAAAAACTTTACGCTTACAATATGCAAACTAATTTATTAATAACATAAATGTAAGCCACTCTTTGTGCTTAATAACAATTTAAACACGAAGAATGATCTATATGTGTACTATTCGATCATGAAAAATCAAGATAATTTCAGTCACTGAAAGTAAGTTTTTTAACGGAATTAATACTTTAAAAGGTGATTTATTTTGAGCAATTTTATTTAATCAAACGAAGTATTCATTAAGTTACAAGACTGATCTCTCTTATTATGTTCTATTCAAAGAATAACAGTTTCAAATAAATGTTTCGAATGAAAGTAATCAAATTCATTTATTATTAAGCATTCATCAATATTTATGGAAGTAAAGGTAAAGAGTAAATATTACTTTACAAGACTTGTAGACTAACTAACTTAATATTGTCTATTCAATTCAAAATCGCTATGGGTAAATCAAAAGATCTACACGGGTATAACAAGATTATACAAATGCAAGCTAATAATAACGATTTGTTAGAATGAAGAACATTCAAAACAGCCCTCAAAAATTTGACGTGAAAATTTTTTATCTTTCGCTCGGCAAACATCAGCAAAACTTTTCAGAGTACAGTATCTTCTTCTGTTGAAAAAAACTTGAAATCTGACATAATTGGTTGAACAGAAGTAACGTTATGGATGAGTGATTGAATGAATGAATGAATGAATGATCGATTGATTGATTGATTGATTGATTGAGTGAGTGATTGAATGGAAGGAATAGAATCAATGTGTGAAGAAGCAAATCAAACAGGTTTTGATAACCTGATCAGTTATAGCTAACAGAGCAGAAATACATTCATAATTGTCTTCTCAGTACAATAAAGAAAGTGTCGGGTGACAAGCAGACAATATTGCGTGTCCCATAAAACGTGAAAATAATACGATGGGAAAGTTTGCTAGCAGACAATGAAAAAATTATTGCCATCGTTGCAATGTGTAATGTGTGATAGTCCTTTCCGACAAAATTAATCTCCGTAAAAAACCCTCAAAATTACGTATAAAAACTCGTATAACAAATATGAATGTAAATTTGACAGAGCAATGAATCTGTCAAATTAAATTGTTAGATTAAGTAGAATGCATATATGTATATGTGTTATGACCTATGATACTGCTTAAATAATTGTTATCACACGTAAAAATATTACTATTTAATGTGATTCAAAATTAATCACAACTCAGAATTCGAATTTAAATATCACTTATTTTATAGATTCAGATCATAACTCTCTTTTCGTTGCAAAATTTCAAGCATAAGTATGCATAATTCAAAGGATGTCACTTATGTCTGAAATACTTTACATGAACTTCACTAATTATATATTTGAGATAGAGTTAGTTATATATGCATTTCGTTTATAATTGGTAGTTAAAAATAAGCATACTTAGATAATGCATATTTATACGAGACAAAATATCACTTTCAAGGCATACTTTTTAATACAAATAGAAACAACAAATTAATATATAAAAATAATTAATTAATTGCGTAATTAATAAAAATTTGCATAAAAAGTGTATTGATTAGTTGAATAGAAGGCATTGCAAGCAGAAAATTAAGCTAATTGCAAAACATTCAAAGCAAAAGCTTCGCTAACAAACTGACAACATTTCATACAAACATATTTCAAATTTTTGCTATCTTTCGATTTTCTCACTGCAAAGACGTAAGTAATCAGAAGAGCAGAAGTAACTAACTGATGTGATGTGATGCGATGTGATGTGTTTTATTGCTTTGCTTATTTTGAATCTCACAAAATGTTCGGAAATGTTAAAGAAAAATAAAAACAAGAGGTCACCAGACCTTTGTAACAGCATTAAAAAAGTTCTTTCTGATATTTGGTACCTTGAATGACCTCAAATACTTGGCCTACTGAAAAAATCAATCACAAATCTTATCATTACTACTTCAATTTATAACGCGATATTGAGTATGCCATTAATCATAATTATTATTGATTTTAATACGATTATGATTTATATCGCAATATTAAATTTTAGTACATCGATGATTTTTATGGCATTTTTTCATTATATTTTGCTGTAAATAGCCATTTTTATTAGATAATTAGTTTCAATGCTTATTAGCAATGCTAACATTTTTGAAAGCAAAATTAGACCAAAAATTTTTTTGCTATTCGCAAAACTTTTCCTCATTAAATGAAGTCATCAAAAAAAGTTAGCGGAAAAGTTTTATCAATAAATCATAGCAAACAGTTTAGTATTAAGTTCAGTTACTTCAACTTTTACAATTTAATGCTATTAATTTTTATTTTGTGACTAACAGTAACTAAGCAAGTAAAAAGTACAGTGCACACTTTTGTGCTAGCCAGTCTTATTTTGTTTTATTTTTTAATTCCATTTTTGACCGCTTGTGACACCAAATATTAGACTACGAAACAGCTATGAAATGCAAATAATTTGATTTGTTATGATCGAAAAGATTTTCTTTTGAATTTTCATCTGGGTAATAATTAGTACTGTTTAGAAATAAAATGCTAGTAGACCATGATTAAACTCAAGCCAAAAACAGTAATGTCTAATTCTTGTCATATTCATCATAATTGTGATCAACCTTAGAATTTATGGACTAGTAAGATCGATCTATTTCCGTGCTTGTTCCGCTTTTAACAATAAAACGCTGGGTGACATTCACTATTAATCTTAAAAGACTCTACGCTCAATGAAAATACATCGCGTTTAATACTGCTCATCTTTAAGCGCAAAAATAGCATCTATAATGCGCTAGCGAGATTTCTGCTTATTACTATTTTAAGGTGAAAAAACAACGTCAGCCACCTTACAACACACAGAACTAGGTTGCAGATTTTTCAGACTCTAATAATTAATTTTTCTAATATCACTTATGTTTACCAATTTTAAACAGTACAAATTTAAACCCTTAAATAAGGTTAGAACAAATCAGAGCTCCAAAATTTTCCGTGACATATTTGATAGCTACTCCCTTGAACCCCATGTACTGAATAATACATGATATATAATAATGCATGATGAATAGTGTATGATAACTGCCAATAAAAGTAGGGATAAATGTAGATTTTGTGTTAAGGACCCAAACCATAAATAAATTATAATTCTGAACAAGCATTTTTTCTAATTGTTTGCAAATTACGCTAATTTTCTAATTTCGTTTCCAAAAATACATATCTTCATATAACGATGAGATTTGGAACTCTTCTACAAAATAAGCTAATAAAAAAATCTGTACAACAAAGAAAAAAATTTTACAGTAAAGATCTTATTTCATGATCATTGTATGCAATACAAATAAAATTTCAAAATTTTATTAATGAAATTACCGAACATAATTTAAAATGATCAATTAACAGCTTAGGTATCCTCTAGAATACGATAAAGTTGATGTTGCCGCAGGGAACAATATCGAAAATAACAAACAAGTTTACAAATAACTGTTTGGAAAGTATACTTTATTTGCATATGGAAATGAATGGAAATTTTGGGATGAGTTTTTGATCCTTGAAAAAACGCAATAAAACATCATATTATGAGGGATTGTATACAAAATGAAATATGCAGAGTCTTTAACAGCATAAATTTACCGTCCACCTCTAAAGCCACTACCTCTGCGTGGTCCACCTCTTCCGCGACCACGCCCTCGTCCACCACGAGTTGGAACAGCACGACCCCGTGATCCACGAGCTGGCTTCTTGCGCGGTTCATCGTCAACTAGGAGCGTATCAAGTGGTATTGAGTCAGGCAGGATGATGTGTCGGATGTTATTCCCTTAAAAATTAGTTGCCAACATCAAATAACATCAGGAAGTTAAAAAATTTTAGTATTAAATTTTAGTAATTAATTACATTTGATATATTTCCCTGCTCACAACCATTTGGAAGTTTACAATTACCTACATGTAGATTTTGATCTCAAATATTAAACCTAAATACTAACATTACTTTCTGCAACAAAAATGTCGATTACTCATACTTAATTAAAAGTTGAAGGTTATCACTGACCTCTTATAGAAATTGATTCTAGTTGAACAGATTCCCTATTTTTTGCCGTCATCTTCACTGATCTTAAATGAGTATTCATAGCAACATCAACACCCACAATTGTGCCTGCGACTAGAGTACCATTCTTAAGCTCTATAGTTACACTTTCATGGGACAATTTCATCAAAAAACGCACTAACTTCATTGTTTACTCTGAAATAAGATAAAAGTCTAAAATTAAATAACTCATGACAAGAAAGATGCGCAAGCTCAGCGACTGTGTTTTACTTATAAAGCACAAAGCATAATCTTAAATCCAGAACACTACTTTAACTAAAGGTAGCCACAGATGTCTGGATAATACAAGTATTACCATGTGCTTCTTATTCTATTTTTCGACAGAACATATAAGGGATAAGAAAGTGATACGCTGAATTTGAACAGAAGCAAGCTATGTAATGCCACTTTTATTTGATAGGAATAAAATTTTGAACGAATGAATTTGTAATTTAAGCTTAAAAAATGAGGAAGACTGTTAGTATAACAAATTAGTGTCTAGAAAACTGGATTAGTATGCCCATTATGTGTGAAAATATCACGTAACATAACGCCTAAAGTCTTAAAGGTAGTGCCGCTGTTGGTGGTAAAATGATTCACCATAAAAATTTGGAACGAAACGCTAGCGTCGTCTTTCAAAGCAATTCTGCCAAGCCGAAAATGAAGTAACCGAAGTTCTTTGGACTGACAAGACGACTGTTAATACAGCATTACTGCTATAGATTTCATTAGCAAAGCGAAATCAACTGGAGAAATGAAAAAAAGAACCGAAATATTTTAATGAGAAAATTAAATCATTGTTAAAACACTAACTTGCACTAATAGTCTTCCTCATTTTCTGTAAGTCGTGGTTTCTTCCAGTTTTAGACGATTGTTTTCGATAACCTTATAAACTAGAACCATTATTCCCCACAACAATGCAAAATGCACAAGACCTATAGGGAAATTTAAATATAAATGTGTACAGAAATGTTGCAACCATGAAAGCTCATGATGCTACTCATCGTGCAACATGAAATGAAATCTCACAGCAGGATGATTTTGAAAACATGAATTTAAAAGGGTAAATTTCAGTTATTTTTTTTTCTATAAAGTAAGCGAAATAGTGCTTGGTGAAAAATTACTCAAAAATAAAAACAAAATTTTAATGCATTTCAAAAAGTCAAAGGGCAAATGAGAGTCTGACAATAAAATCTCTAAATTAAAGAAAAAGTAAAATTTTGTTCAAATCAAAAATTAATGCCAAAACTCGGATATGTTTTGTATGAAATTCCTGACTGAGATATTCTGACAATCTATTCAAATTACAATGTACATTTTGTGTATTATAAAAATGACTTATTTTTATTTTACTAATATTTACTCTTGTGAACTCATTTTTTCAAAATCATTCTGCTGTGAGATTTCACTGATGTTTTACTCTACTCTGCCAAAAATCACATATTGCATATTCAAGGAAATTGTCGCGAAATTACAATTCATAACACCCAAATATTTCACTACAATATCAATTTCTGTGATACACTCCTTCGTGCATGTTCACTACAGTGAACAAATTATTAGATGGTACCGAACGAATGATTCAGAATGATAGAATTGATCTACAATATTGTGCAACCAATGCACTAAGAAACGTTACATCATAACGACATCATCGAGTCTATGTCATGACACTGTCATGTGTTTAAGTAAGTGTGGTCGTGAGAACAATGATGACAGTAATGAGTCAATTTACGCTGTCATATGCTTGAATATACGTGGTCGTTCAAATGTTAATGTCTTATAAGACTCTGCAGTATTTCACGGTTGCCCAGAGTCTGTTATTGCTAAATAATCATGAAGTTATTGTTAAGGTAGTTATTGCTTTTATCTTGTATTGAGTTGGTTTTAGGTATTGAGCTTTAGGGTTGTTTACATTTTGCGAAGCATAAAAGTGTCAATGTCGGTGGAGGATGAAGCACCACCTGATGATCTGTCTTTCATTGGATTCAATCAAGATGCCACGTAAATATTTAACTTTTAATTTTGCAATTTTCATCTGAAATTTCGATATATCGCAGTTTCTAATGGGGCTAAATTTATATTACTTGAGAGTAGGCATACTCTTAAAATTCATGTTTTTTATGTAAATTAACTTGTTGCATTTTTCCCTTGTTTTTTATTTTATTTAAATTAAGTATATTTGATTTTTTGCCCATAATAATTGGATGAAAAATATTTCGTGATGTTACCTCGTATTCACTGCTAAATTATTGTCCTGAAATCAGGTTACGCTTGAGTCATTGATGTGCCAGTGATTTTTATGATATGCATTCATATTCTATTTCAGATCACTTGCTGTAGGTGGCATATTTGGCTACCGGCTGTATTCAACAAAAAGAATTGAAAAATTTGATGTAGTTTATGAGAATTACACCAACATTTCACTTGAGAAAACTAGGAATATAGGTATTATTAAATTGTGCTTGTGTCGCTAAAATGGGATGTATATGCGATGAATAAAACTTTTGGTAATTCAAATTCTGTTGTTTAGCAGAATTGTCATTAGTTCAAAATTTTATTTTATTATGAAGTCCATCTTGTGTTTGCAGAATTGTTCTCGATCATACATATTGAACGTCTTTTTTCATCAAGTCTTTTGATGATCGTTTCAACTCAAGCACCTCGTAAATTACGCATTTATCACTTTCAAAAAAACAATGAAATATGTGCTCAAAGTTATACAAATACAGTACTTGCTGTAAAAGTAAATCGTGATGTGAGATTTAAAGTTGCTTATTGTGTCTTGTAATCATCATAAAAAATAATTTGGGACAGTAGTTATCATTTTTGATGCTATTTTTAATCGGTGCGACTTCTTGAAACTTTCAGAAATTGTAAAATCATTATTTTCAGTATATGGTTGTCTGCTTGGAAAACATTATTTATATTCATACGGTGAAGGACATGAAAGTAAGCTTTTTAGTTTCTTCTTTTTCGAGATTTGATCGTGTTTGCAATAAATTCTTTATAATTTGCATCAAACTTGCATGCGTGAGCTCATTTGCTAAAGTTTGGCTATTTGATTTTTCACTTTATCTCCTGAAATACGATCATTAACTGAATTATTAACTGGGAGAATTTACCCAAAACAGGTCTATAAAAGTTTGATATCTGCGCATGTGTTTGCTACTAGTATACAGGTGAAGGATTGCACTCAAAAGTCGCTCATTCTGTGAACTAAATTGTTGTAAAAAGTCAGTTTGACCCACCTTTTCTTTGATCATTTGTACCAGTTTATAAACTGAGCATGCGAATGGCTATCACTAATATGTGGAATGTATATTGCTTATCACTTGCATCTTTTCCTTGTCCCAGAATTAGTGAAGAGTAATATTTAAAATTTAAATTATCAGAGCAGAATTTCTTATATCAGAATAGTAAACATAATATTGTAATATTGTGATAATTGTATTATAAGGTGCAAAATAATGCAGTGATTGATCTTCGATTCAAAGTAATAAGGCTTCTTACTCACTGCAAATTGTAATTTGAAGTTTTTTGGTTGGGGAAAAACACAAACATTTCAAGTGGGATTAATTTTCTTGACAAATTGACTTATGTAAAGAATTCTTTATTGAGGCCGATGTTTTTCCGGTTATCCATACAATCCGGGATACGCCATTAAATGCTAGCGGTGTAATCGATTTATCGTCAACAGTTAATTCCTATTTGGCTTATCCAGGTTCAGTAAGCAGCGGACATGGTACGCATTTCTTTCTTGTCTTCTGTTCATGTTAATGCTAGTACTGCTCGATAGTTTATTCTCTAATGTTGTAGCAGTTGTTGGTATTCAGTTGCGTTAGAAGTTACAGGATTGCTGAAACTAAAGTTCGATTACTCAAATTTATTTTTTCAGTCCAGTTGTTTGATGTATCACGGTTGTCTTCAATGAGTGCTATTGCGGCACATACTAGTCCTTTAGGGGCTTTGCGTTTCAGCTTTGATTCTAAAATGTTGGCTACTGCTTCAGTTCGTGGTACGGTAATTCGTGTATTTAGCACTGAATCTGGTAATCGGTTGTACGAATTCACACGAGGTATCAAAAGGTATCGTTTTTGTTTTTCAGTATCACCACTTCATGAGGCCTTTTATGTCGTTCAGTACCTTAATCTAATTTTTTTTAGATTTGTAACGATTTATTCACTTGCATTCAGTATGGATGGTGATTATTTATGTTCTTCTAGTAATACCGAAACGGTTCACGTATTCAAACTAGAAAAGGCTGTTGATGCTCAAAATCCGTGAGACGTTTTTCTGTCAACTTTAGTTTAAAATTATCATGTTTTTTTAATGTCTTAAAATTTTGGGAAATTGATGCTGTTGAATAATCAGTGTATTGGATTGGATACTGATTTTTTTAAAAAGATCCAAAAATATTGTTGGTTTGAATTTTAAGCTATTATAGATTGAAATGTTTAGAAATGAGGGTGAAGAAGGATGGGTGGATTATTTGTCAAAGCAGGCAAGTAGCTATTTACCTACTCATATGAATGATTTTCTGATGCGTGGAAAGAGTTTTGTCATAGCTAAACTACCAGCAGTTGGAAAACGGAATGCAACTGCTTTGCCAGTGTAATAGCTTCTATTCTCTATTGTTAAATTAGTTGAAATAAACATGCATTCAAGAAAAAGCGAACGTTGAAATTTTCTTTGAAAAAAAAGTTAACTTTAGACTTTGAATTTTTCGAAATCACATTGATCACTCACTCTTGAGTGTTATTATGAACTGTGGATGTTGGTTGTTTTGTATTGAGATTAGTGGAGGTGTAAGCTAAAATGTTATGATTTTTTGTTTTAGTTTTATGGAATCAGTTTCAAAATCTTTTTGGAACACATTATTCAAAAGTAAATCTCATAATATTTTTCCGTATTTTTAGCAAAAATTTAAAATAATAGTCTATTGCATTACTTCATTCATAATGATAAATTTTTAGAATCAATGGAAAGCTCCATCTTTTAGTTGCAACCACTGATGGAATCGCATATGTATATGAAGTAGAACCTGAAGTTGCTGAACTTACGTTATTGAGGCAGCATAAAATCAATTTTAAGGTCTGATTTAAAGTATACCTACTTTTTTTGTTCATTCATTGCATAAGTGTTTTAAAAATATGTAGTTTTCGTGATAGAATTTGCTCCCTGTTGTAAAAGTAAACAGAAATTGGGGTTTTTTGCAAAAATGATGATTTTTCGATTATTTTTTCATCTGGTAAATCTGAATACAAACTGCAGTCATCGACATCAGCGAATGCGAGTGATGTCGTGGAAGACGTGGAGAAAATATCGGGGCGGTCGGAAGAAGTCACCATTATAGATACTTCTGAGTCATAGTAAATCTGCTCTTTCTTTGCAATGAAATGATATGTACAAAAATTTGATTAAGAAAAAAGTGCTTTCGCTGTGAATATGGATATAGGAAACAGAGTTATTAATGATTTTTCTTTAGTTGTTAATTGTAATTGTTGAAATGACTAATACTTTTAGAATAGCTAACCGCATAGTTTTGAGTTTGAGTATTTTTCAAATATTGTAAATTTGTAAGATACATTTTCTGCTGCGACATTTGAAATAGTTATTTTGTGTTTAGGATTCGTCACCATTCCTGTCATTTACCGTTTGTTCATGCTATGAAATATTTCTGCTTTTTATTAAGTTCAGAAAACACGAAATTGGTCAGTAAAGTTCTGCGCTGGCTTTAGATTTAAGTTTTCCGTATTTTAGTTTTCTCAGGTTTTGCATGCTTGTTGCTTGATCAGCAGATTTTCGGAAGAGTTTTTACTGCTCGAAATGGCATTCAAGCATCAAATATTTTTTCTGTACTTTGAAAGCAGAATTTGTGTAGATATGTTTCCATAAACTTGTATGTGAAAAGTATGATTAAAGTAAGGATGCTTAAAAATAAAACAAAGTGTTTGCATATGACAATTTATTCTATTCATATTCGTAGTGTAAGTATTGTCTTTGTCAGGGTTTTAAATCAAAGCCTTTGGAATACCGAAATAGCCATATATTGGATACCTATATTAGCAAGTCAGTTTTACTACCTTTGTGAGGAGTTGGTTGGCGTTTACGTGATTTTTCGAAGTGGGAAATATTTTGGTTTTCAGCTTGAAGAAGAGTTTGGGAATAACTTCATGATGTCTTGCTGTAATGTTTTAAGGTCTTTTAGAAGACGATTAGATGATAAAGAGGTTTATATTTAAATAATTTTTTAACTGGACTTAAGAGTTGCGTGGTCAGTAATTTTATTGACCAATGTATGGTTTGCAAAGTAGTAAAACGAAATTGAAAATAAGAAAAGTAATGGGAGGCAGTCAGACCAAATCTATTGGGTAGTACCCTGAACCACTGCATGATTTTAGTGTAGTAAAATAGAGCAAGACAAATATCATGATCATCTAAAGCAACAAATATTTATGAGCTGGTATTTTGTTAATACGTATCAAGCGTTATTTTGTCAACATTGCTGTAAGCTAAGTAAATAATTTGTCAAGTCAACAAAACTTCTTGTTTTCATCTTCAATCGCCCCGGAAGCTACCTTAAGAGATCAACTAATGACAGATGTATTTAATGAGTGCGAGAATTTGTATTAGATTTGCTACTGCTTATATTTTGTCACTCTGGTCATTTCCAGACATTCAGATCCACTTCTGGATAGAGATGAAAAAAGCTTTTAAAGAATTCAATTTTTATTCGCTAAGCGAATTAGCGATAAATTCTCAGCAAAAAAGGTTTACATTTTGTAATTCAGGCAGCTGCTACCAATAGAAGATCTGCTTAACAATCACTGGCTTAACAAATCCGTTAAAAAGTAATAGTATTGACAAACAGTTTATTTTTATTCTTGCATTATTCAGTTATACAAAGTTATGTTTCGAAGAATCATTTTTAGAGATCGATATTTGCTATCACTTTTTATTACGACAGTTTGACCTCAAGCAGAATTACAATCTTACACAGTTACGTAGAACTGGATTAGAAACGAAGTTGTCTTAACATCGACCACAAGTTTTTGCACATTGTACGGTCATTTGGTTATAGTAAGCAAGGCTGTTACAGGCTGACTTACGAGGTTCACAGTACTGAGATCCTGATCTATCGAGACAAATACCTATAATAGTATCTCATTGCTCAATTTAAACTTGGCATAAGAAAATTCAACTTATAATCAATTGATTAATGTTTAACTAGTGATAAGTAGTAAAAGACCCAAGTACTTTAATTTTAATCGAAGCTCAAATAATTAATTATTTCTTTACTTTGTCTAGTACTAGTGTTTACTTTTCGATGAAAATGTACCACGTTATCTCACTAACTTCAATTGTTTTTTGCACATGGAAATGGGTAACTCGCATGAGTACTTACGTGGGAACGGAGTAACGTCTGGGCAGCGATTACATGTCATAGGACAAATATCCGTCATTAAATTGTACCAAATGGGATGATTGCATAATTCTCCTCGCAAGAAGCATTCCTTTGGAGAACGGTCAGCACAATGACCAAAAAGTGAAAAATGCTTATGTTTCAGAATTTTGTTGAAGTATGGAACGCTATACTATCACTTATATACTTATCAACAAAACGTTACCATCAAATTTACTGAAATCAGCAAATAAACGTGGATGAATATGATGTTTCTTTTTCGATATGATCGAGTTGTTATTTTCAGATAATGAAAAGCAATGAAGATTTGATCAAATCTAACCAATTTTAGTACTCGTTGTATTTCCTGTGGCTGAGCCTTCAGTGGTTTCTGAAAAGAAATTGGCATGGAATCAGAATCAAAGACGAGAAGCTATTTCTAAAAAGTAAGTGAATTTACTTCAACTTCGGCCTGACTATCAGTGAAGTTTACTTGCTTTTTTAATTTTACTTTCTCTTTGTACTATCTTAATGAGTATTATCCTCATGGATCTTCGTCTCAGTCATTCAGAATCGATGCTTTTAATCAAAGGAAGATCTTGACAAAAATTCACCAACTGTTGTAGCACTTGATTCAGTTGCGTTGTTAGATTCCTCTGGCGCTACTAAAAAAGGACTTTTCGAAAATTAGAGCAAGACATTTCTTCTTAAAGTAAGACTTATTTGCTTCCTAAGTCTTTATCAGCAAATTACTAATAAAACATTATTTGCATGAAAATTGTTTCTCAGAGGTATAGCTATGTATATAAATGCGGTAGGTAAATCAATAGGTACTACCGTAAAACTTACTGGATGACTGAGTTTTTGCTATGTTCCAAGTTGAAGTTGTTAGTAAGATTGACAAAAGCAAACCAATCATTATTATTCAACTTTACTTCGTACTAATATTATCGTAGAATAATCCATGAATTTATTTGATTGTTTATTGACTAACTAGCTTGTTTATCATATCAAACTGAAAATGATTCTGCACAGCTGTACAAATAACATCAATTTTACATAAATGACTTAATTGTAATCAACGCAGAAACTGAACTTACTCGTAACAAACAGCTTTTCTCCTTTGAAAAGAATCTCATAAAACATGTAAAACGGAATAAAAAAGCATGCTACTGTTAAATAAAATTTTCTAAAACATAATATCTTTCGTAACTTACTTGAATCGAATTTGAACTGTATTTGAAAGTCGCTTCCAGTATCTGTATATTTCTACGATCAAGTCAACGACTAGTATCTATAAATATAAAACTTTGTAAAGAAACCATTCGTACATTAGTAGCATCATACTCAATTACAAAAGGCAACCTAACACAATAGTGAAAAACTTCATGATTTTCACGGCTTTCCTTGGTTCACAAGTTAGAGTACGTTCTGAAATACATCACACGTATATGATTACTTTATGAGTGAAATACTGAATAGCTTTGCTCTACTTTTCAACATTCATATATTTTGAGAATAAAATTAAATCACTACAGTTTATAATTTATGTCAAAACCTCGCCACCGTATTGACAAAAGTAGCACGCAATAAATTCTGAAATATCGTTGAGTGACGTGACATTGCCGCCTTTCACTTCTTACTAACTATTATAAATCAAATTTTTGAAGTATTTTTCTACATTTCCAAAAAACTTCAAGCTTTTTTTCCATAAACAAGAACATTATTTGTTAAAAAAATCAGGAATTGCCTTTAATAAGTACTACTTTTTATGGACTTATATTCATTTATTCAGAAAGTAATAAAAGTGAGCAAAATACCATAACGAGGTAGATTCAACCATCAACTGCAATCATTAATATAATTTGTTTCAGAAAAATTAATGCGTGTTACTGTAACAAATACACGTATCACTGTAACACATAGCTTGATACTGTAAAAAATACATCATTTATTGAAAACGAATTTTTTAAATAACACAGATGAGAATGCGATTTGAACATGAATGTCCCCGACAGTAAACTTAAGAGTTGTCAAGAATGCTTCTAGCTTGAGAGAAATAGTAAGATACTTCAACATGATAATAATCGTTAGTTTCAAGTACTATTATCGTAATAAAATATCTGCTTTCTCAACCACTTAAAGTCCTCTCCTGTTCATTATCACTAACAGATCTTTTGAAGATTCATTTCCAATATATCACTATCAACAGATCAGCACTTTGTCAATAGGTCAACAGTGACGCAGTTCGTAGTGAGTGAAGATTATATATTGCCTGATATCTGCTTTTACTGTTTACTAAAACACCCTTTTGTACTTGACTGAATTTCAAAAAAAAGATTTGTATGCAATGCCGTAGTGATTATCATAAATGATGTCTGTAAAAACGCTCACTCTGCTCAATTCAAACAACTGAAGAAGTATCTGCCCTGACATCTCCACTTCCATCTAAATCTCGCATACTTTTGCTTTTATACATAGCATAAATCAATCATAAAGAATGTTGACGTTTCTTGAGGAACATTTTATGCAGGTCACGAGATTAGAGATGTGAAGACGACTTCAAATGACAGTTGAAAACATTTGATTTGCTACCTGAAGTTCACATTTGCTTCAATATACGAAATCATCACTTGTTAAGGAGAAAGATTTATGCAAGCAAGAAGTCCCTTTCGGGACAAAGGTATGCGGAATCGCTTTCAGAAAACTACTAAAAGTGAACGGAACTTGAGAAACAAATCCTGCTGCTGTCAATTAGAATGCCACTATCTCCAGTTTTAGCTTAATATCTAATCCTCCTAAGAAGATGCTCACTCGCTAACATGTATGGATATCCACGATTAAAAAATTAAGTATTAAAGTCCTAAGCAGCTAAAGCATGTAATGGGCGCACCTCGCAAGCTATAATAAGACCACTAAGAATGGGAACGAGAGCAAAGTTCCGTCATCATCCGATGTTAAAGTTAATTCAGATGTATGAATTCAAAAGAAAATTGTAACTTTTATTTTGTTAAAAATAAATTCGTATTTGACAAATAAAGTTAATATTGAGAAATGACTATCATTCATCAGGACAATTCCACTATTACCAAATTACAAAGGATAAAAATGGTCTAATTCTCATTATCAAGTCAATTAAATCATCCCGAATAATCGACCGCTTTCAGACTTTGTTCATAAAGGAAACTACAATTGTTATCGTCCAGTGCATCCAATGAAGGGGTGCTTAGTTTGCACTCTCTGAAATAAAATTGAACGGAGAAGGCAAATTTCTATGTGCTAAAAAATTTATTACAAGTAATGAATGACAAGCTTTTGAAGAGCAAAATTTATTATAAAAGTTTATATTTCCAGTTCATGAAAAATCTTACATTTTACTTTTGATGACTGATTCAGTAGAATTTTTGTTGTTTAAGCTCACAGCTCCAACAAAATTCGAAATAAACACAGCAAACTTTTACGTACTTAAAGTGTTATAAATTTTAATATGTAACACATTTTTATGAGAAAGTCAAAGATTCTTTACTTACCCGAAATATTTGCCCGAAATACTTTCAACACTTCTACTCAATGCTGCATATAATGTTGTTTGAGCACCGTCCTGAAATTTGATCAATAATATTCCATGCAACCATTTTTTTTGATCAACTTTGACTTTCTGGCATACATTTATTGAATATTTGACACTATATATTATCAAAATAAGAACGCAGCACGATGATTTTGTAAAATAATTATATAAAAGAAATGAAGTTGAGGTTTTTAATAAAAGTTTACAGTTTAGCAAAGGTCACAAAATATAATGTAAGACATTAATAATAATTTTGATGAGGACGGATTCTTATGATCACTCAAAAGAATAAAAAATAATACTCAAACCTTCTCCGTTTTCATGAAAAACCACAGAATGGGTGTAATCATTTGCAAAATATATTTCTGACTAAACATGGTATAACGCATGAGTTCAGTGAAACAAACTCCTGGATGAACTGAATTTATCGTCACGGCGATGTCGGGGTCTTTCATCCTAAGTCGTTTTGTAACTTCACGAGCATGCATTATCTAAAATCAACCATATTTTGGGACAAAGTATATAATAGTATCAAACATTTAGATATCCCAAATCTTCACGAAAAAGAAGCTTTCTCACCTGCTCAAGCGTACTTATATTTTTTAATATTTTAGATATAAAGATAAAAAATTATCAGTAAAATCAAGACACTAACTTGAGCCAATTTTGATCTGCAGTAAGGCATGGATCTATTAAAATATGACTTGTTATTGACTACAGCAATATCGACGCTATCAGCCTTTTTATGAAGTGAACTAGAAACGTTGATAATTCTCCCATTTGTTGATTTTTTAATCAATGGAAGTAAGAGTTCGGTTAACAAAAAATGACCTGTAAAATTTTTGTAGGCATTGCATAAGCATCAACATAAGTTCGCAAAAAAATAAACCTAAAGATTTTTGAATCAATTTTTTAAAATTATTTTAGAACAGCAATATACATACAGTGCATTTCTACACCAAGTTATTTTTTTATAAAATCGCACACAAGATGGTTTCGACTGTAATGAACTGAAACTTTGCTGTATGAGAAGAACACGACAGTTTGAAGATCATTACAAGAAAAGACATGAAAATGTTATTATAATAGAAAATACACTAAATTTTGCGATTAAACAAAAAAATTTCAACTCATAACCTGACTCCATAGTTGCATTAATTTGTTCAATAACTAAATAATATTCAAAGATCATCACATTGAACAAAAAGTTTTGAGCTTTTCAAGTGAAAACACACTACCGCATACCAAGATAATTTGTCTGCCATGTAATTTCGTTACCATCTTCTGTTAATTCGAATTTTGGATAAAACATTATGCCTGCATTGTTTACGAGTATATCTACTTTATCTACTTCTGAAAAACAAACAATGTTATTAAAGTCAAAGAATGAAGTGATTGGATAATAACTAAATTTTCCTTCTATTTAGTGAAATTCAAAAAGCTAGAGCTGAATGCCCAAATCACTACACAAGAAACTAACCATCTTTTATTTCATTAGCGAATTTCCTTATTGTGGCAAGCCTTGATAAGTCTACATCTTTTACAATTAGTCTTGTTGGATCACATCCAAGCTTAAAACATAAATGCAAACAAAAGAAAAACTGCATTTTTATCAGTTGAGTTTACTTATTTTACAAATGCTGAACAAACAGAGAAATCATCTTAAAGTTTACAGCATTTCAGTTACACAGATGACTTGATTTAAATTTGATGCATTTTGAAGAACCTTTATAAAATATAAAACTTATTGTGTACTGAGAGTGCAGAACGTGATTCAAGTGAAAAGACTTGTGTTCGCTGAAGAGAAAACTTTCAGTACATCACGATTTTCAGTGCAGAAAGATTTCGCATAATGTAAAAGCTTTCATAAAAATTATCTTTTAACCAAATAAATTCAATTTTATAGTCTACACAACACTGCTTACTTTCGTCAGCTCAATCCTCGCATTCTCCGCTCGTTCACGATTTCTACACAGCATGTAAACGGTAGCACCACGAAGATTAAGCTCTCGGGCAGTCTGTTTCCCTATCCCAGCACTTGCTCCAGTAACCATTGCTATCTTTCCTCTCGCTTTCACACTTTCAACAAACTGAGCTCCTTTTAAGTAGCGTCTGAAAAAAGTATAAATTGTCTTTCTACAAGAATAAGTGCCATTTTACCATTTAATCCGATTACTTTATATCTTTTTATTCCTATACTGAAAAAACAAAAGATCATACGAGAACTGATTCAAAGTTAAAAATGGAGTAAAAATACCTGATAAAATACATGCTAACACAAGTCAAAACTCCGACCAGCGGAAATGACAAACTTTCAAAGTATCCTTCACCTGATCCCATATTCTTGCAAAATAATATCCTGTAACAGTTAAATGCGCAAAATAACCATTCTTTATCCTTCTCAGCAACAAACGTTAAAATTCTTAATTTGAATTCTATACTACTTATGCAGTAAAAGTTATTACGAGAATAAAGGAAAATTACGTAACTACTTTCACGGAAGGCATTTCTACAGAAAAATATACGCATACTTGAGTATCTTCTTCAAATTATTACACGTACCCAAGAATCTTACATAATCACTTGATATTATAAGTTTAGAAGAAGAACGAGAGAGGAGGTGATAGACTTAGAAGGAAAGAGCCTATGTGGAAAGCTGGAAGTGAATTATTACTGAAGATAATCACTTCGATCGAAGTATTCATGTGAATTAGTCAACACTTCGTAAATAAGTAAATATAAACACATGTAATTATAAAGTTGACTGCTCTGACCAAAATTACATACTAGATGAAACTTTTGTTTCCACTTAATATACTTTAAGGCAAGTAAAGTAAGCGTAATCATCCATAAGTTCAATTTCTTGTTTCCTACATCTTCCTGCGCTGTTTAAGCCAACTCTTATCAACTAAGTTACCTGTTGTTTATAATCAACGCTGAATAAACCAAAACTGAACTGAACTGACTTAGCAAATAGTCAACCACATGAATTTTTCCTCAAAAACCGAGAAGACAATCATTAAATCGATGATAGCTTCGCTGATTCTGTCTTCCAAAAAACGAATTTTGAGTGATGGAAATTTGAAAATTTAAGATTTTAAAAACATAAAAGTGTTTTGTCTAAGAAAGTATACTCTTGATGCAACTTGACATAACTCAAAAACTCATTATAATTTAAAATAAAATTAAGTAATCATTTTGTGTCTAATTCGTTTTTCGTTGGCCACTATTACACATACGCATTTATTATCTTAGCAAAATTTCTGGTTGAAATCGATAAATTTCGAAGAGATGCCTCGAATTTCATCACGGCTATTTTTCTTTCTATCCCTAATTCACTTCCGTCTTCTCATATGCATACAAATCCTTATTCTGTACGTGGAAATTGACGTAGTGAATTAGTCGTAATGTATAATATACAGGACAATGTAAGAAGTGATTGCAAAATGAAGCAGAAAAGAGTCAGTAAATTAGTTACATAATGAGTATGAATAAATGAATAAATAGATTGATAGAGAAGTAGATAGATAAATAAATAATTGAAGAATAATTGACCATGAGAGTAGGTAAGTAAACAGGTAGTTAGATTAACGTATGGTAAACAGCTGTTTACGATTGTTATTTTCCATTATCACTGTGTTATAACTATAAAATGTTCATTGTGACTCTAAGATGGTAAAATATGCGAACAAAAATTCCAATATGCAAATTTATTTGTCTAAATTCTCATTCTCCCTGCTTTTTTTCAAAAAAAAAAAAAACTTTTATCAAACAAATTTTGCATTTTAGTCCATAATAACTCAGAGGTGGTGCGGTTGCACGCGGTTCCTCGTTACCGGTAGTGTTTTCCACAAGATGGTAGCTGCATGTTGGTAGATTAATATGTGATATAGATTAGTATGAGTAAATTTCACTGCTCAATTGTTACTTTTTAGCTTTGGATTTTTTTTTTCATTTAGTGACTAGGAAACGAAAATTTTACAGTCTTAGTATCGACGTAAGTGTAGTATGTTGGATATCTATGAGATAGATAGGCAGATCTGTTGTCACTGAGCTATTTCAGTTCAGAAATCCTATTCCTTCTCTCATAATTACTCTATTCTTATACTGTTATATCAAAATTGTTTTACTTAAATATTTGAGGTTAGTAGTTATTATCTGAACTAGAATAGCTCAGTAATCCGATTACTTCTTTGTTCTATCATTGCCAGATCTGATCAGTCTGTTGAACTTCTTATTTTAACTGAACTGAATTAATCCTATTGGGGTTCTTTGACTGATTTAATATTAAAGAAGTAATCGAGTTACCACTGTTCCGTACTGGAGTTATTATTTCTTGAGCTTGGTTTACTTAATCGGTTTGCAAGTTAACTCAGACTTGGTCGATACGTTAACTTGCTAAAATTAATGTATAATAATTCACTTATCTTACTAATCTCAGTTTCTTATCAAGAAAGGTTACCTTTACTTCTAGTAAACCACTCAGAGAAAAATATTGCTTCTGAATTAAGCTTATCTCATCACTTTATAAGTTTTCTATTTTGATTAGTTCTTAAGTTTGATTTGAGTTTGAGAATTTCAATCCCTTTTCAAGTTTTGTAATACTTTCAAAGTCCAACTTGCAATTTTTCTTATCATCAGAAATCCTATCTATTCTTTCTCTCATAATGATTCTGTTCTTTGCATTATTCATATATCCATGCATGTTCTCTGGAATCAGTCTTTGCTTGTGTTGTGGATTGGAAGTAGGGCGATCGTACTCCACTTTTCATTACCAACGACTGTTCTTATTTTTCACGTTTGTCCATAAAGTTAAAGTGTGTGGTGCAAGTTGCTACTATGTGATAATACTGTTCAAGTTGAGTTACATGTAAGAGGCTGTTTTGTTTTCTGGTTTGATGTTATGCAAGAATTCAGTTGTTGCAGTTGTAGTAAGTCGATATCCAGGAATTCTAGGTAACTCTTGGCTTGTCTTTAGCTGTTGTGCAGTGTCCGTACTCATTGAGATCTTAGCTCTTGCCATTCTCTTAAATTGTGGCTAGTTCTTGCTTGATCCAATAAGCAGAAACATTTCTGTTATTTAGCTTCAATTTCATATACTTTGATTAGCATTTATTCACTTTGATTTGAGTGAAAGTTAGGCAAATTTTTATTTCCTTCCTATGCTTTGTTTCATTCCTTCATTCGTTCATTTGTTCATTCATTCAATCGTTCATTTGTTCATTCATTCTTTCATCCTTTTTTACAATATTGCCTGAAAATGCATATTTATCTAAATCTGAGTTTCCGACCGGTCGTGTTATCTCTTTTAGTTTTGTGACGTGTACGTGCGTGCCACTGTTTGCCCTGAAAAACTACCATTCACATATTTCGCTCTATGAAATAATTGTCTTATACTCTGACATGTGTTATTTTGCTTGCGTGAGGAAGAAGTGATCAGTTTTATTCTTTCTTGTCTTGCTTGTCATTATTCTTACTTGATATGGTATGGTTCTGTCCAAGTGTGACCTGTTGACTTACTTCACTGCTGGTATCTCAGAGTGCATCCATTCCAGCGTGATATTCTGCTGGTTTTGTTGCATTCTTCTTTTTGTACAAATTCGCAATCCTGCTCTCATTTCAAACTTTGAAAATTCATGAGTGCAAAATGTACTCTTGGAAGCAATTTCTTGAATGTAAAGATCTTTATGTAAAGTAGCAAAAGTGTTCGAGAGCAGATGAGACATGTTTCTACTTGGATGGCCGTGCAGAGTAGGTGCTTTTCGTAGTATTGATGTGCATGAACTTGAGGTCACTTATGGCACATTTCTGTTTAACTGATCTGTACTGAATACTTTTCACATCACTGAGGTCAGGAATGTGCACATATTTCTCTGTGCTATTTAGTCTCCCCTCATCTGCTACTCTTGACTTGTTGCTTTGATAGTCTTGAATTGATATAAGGAATTGGTATTCGTTGATAGCTTAAATGTGATTTTATTCGTGAAAATGACTCCTCTATGTTTTAATTTGTTTTATGGTCATTGACAACATTATTTGTCATCATAGTAACCATCTTGTGGTGAATATAGAACTCGACAACCGGTAGATTGATGGCTATGGTAGTTACTATAATCGGTGACAGTATCAGTGTTTGATATTGTTTGTCTTGTACAGCATCTTACAACGAAATTTTCTTAAGTTTAGTTATTAACAGCGGTGACAGATATTGTGTTGCTATAGCGAACACATTGTCGTGTAACGTATGCATCTATACAACCTACTCGTGCTAGAGTGTAGTACCGAGGTGAATGTTGCATCAATTATTAGTTTTGATTTTCAGAAGTCGAGTTGGTTTTCCCGCGGTGTCGCGGTGGACTTCAAAGGTTAGCAAAATGACTGAAGCTGAGAAGAAGAGCTTTCTCGCTCTCGCATGTAAGTTCCAATGCTTAACACACAGGAAGTTGCCAAAAACCTAAAGATAACTGCATCGCGGCTCTGCATGCGACCGAAAAGGCGTTGCGTATTCGGCGCCAAATTTGAATTTTGTTGATTGATCTTCTGAGTTAAAGGGTTGCTCATTTCGTATCGCGATGTGAGGAGATTGCTTTGAGAACGTGTAATTTTGATTGCTGGAAGGTGTTCGAGAAATATTAAATATGGATTTTTGGCGGGCAGGAGAGAAAAAATTACAGTATCGTTTTGCCTTCAAATTTATAGATATCGAAAGGGTGTTTTTTAAACATTCAAACAGGGATCAGCATGGGTCAGGAGTGCAATATCATTTTGCGCTTGCAAGGTATAAGCACGATCATATATAAATAAATGTGCGTGCAATATTCGTGTTATACGCCTGAAGTAAAGTGGAATGAATTTCATATGAACAACAGATTATACTTTTTGTGAGGTCACGAATTGCTCGTATGTAATTAAGATGAGATTGGGAAAGGCAAAAGTCTGTAACATATAAGAAAGTAAAAGTGGATAAAATGAGTGGACGAAGCTGAATAAGTTGCAATGGAATTGTTTTATTTTGGAGCAGCGTGAAATTGAGAAATAAAATTAGAAGTTCAGATGTAATCAATTTTTTGTTCACAACATGTTTTCGAAAAATAAAATAAGGTGTTGGTAATTTGTTGAATGTCCTAGAAAATGCAAATTATGATCTTAACTATAATATCTTACTGATAGTTTGCTGAACGACTAGCATTTTTATCTTTTCAGTGGTTGCAAGTATTTTTTTTTGAATCTGCTGGAATTTTGGAGGATATATTTATATGAGTATATATCTTCCAAAAGTATAGAATTGGCTTAAGGTTACTCGATGCCTACCATTTCCGCCCAAGTATATGATTAAAAGCCTAAATTATATAAGCGAAATTTTGAGAAAAGTTTTATAGCATGAGCTGCAAAATTCCTTAAAGGATTTGAGTTAATAAATTCATGAATTCCAAATTGTGGTTTCAATAGAGCATTTCTAGCATCACGCGCTCCTGGTAAACGACAGATCAAGCCAAATGCAAACGTTTTGCTCAACACTCTTCCGCTCAGCGATAGTGATGAAGACGACGACTTCGTTGGTAAGCTGAAAAATATTCGGATTTTCGAATTCTAAAGCACATCAAAAATAAAGTCAGAATAAGCCCTTAGTTTTGATTCAAAAGCTGGAAGATTGAAATGGTTGAACAAGAGAAATCTCTGGAAATGAAATCCCATTGTTCAATGTTACTTGTGAAATGCATTGCAATAATTGAAGTTGTTTCCAACATTATTATAGTGGGGAAAGCTGATGAAGATTGTTCGTCCAATTCCGATTCTGGTTCTTCGAGTAGTGATGGTGACGAAGATGATGAGCCAAATGATGCGCAGTCTTCACATTCGAATGGGTCTATCTTGGAAGAAAGCCAAAATAAGGTTTGTTATATATTTCAAAAGTATTAAAAGAAATATATATGAAAGAAAACTTTTTCAGCATGAAATCATAGACAATTTTAATTCCAGGACGTAACATCTGAAATGAATTTCATGGGAGCGAGTGGATATAATTTTCAGTCGGTAATTTTTATTCAATTATACACAGTTTTAATATATGTGTCAGTTTCAGAAATTTTCCAATTTGAATTTCTGCAGCTCGTCTGTCAGTTCTTTTTTGAGACTGTATAATTAATTATATATTCTTGGTGTAGCTAGCTCTTGTTGTTAATAAATGTGTCTACATTTCTTTCAGGATTTTTTTTATAGATATGAAGAGCAGTTAGCGATGTTTTCTATTATTGAAAATATTTTTCAGTAATCTATTCTGCAAATATAACTAAAAGAGCAGCAATATTAAATCGATTAATTCTGGGTTTACTAAGTGAACGTCAATATCATATTTCTTTCTCTCTCTCTTTGTTATCAATCGTTGTTTAAATATATCTCCGAAACATTATGCATTCATAACTCATTCATTTTATTAGAAATGTGAAAAATTCAAGTTTTTTTTTTTTCAGAATCATTTGATTTGCACACTGTGCTTAAATCTACGTGCTGTTGTGCGCAACGACGAAGTAATTCAGTGCGATAAGTAAATTAAATTTTGAATTGAAAAGCATGAGAACATAAAGGGGTTTAAATATGTTCTTTATTAGTTGTTGTTCAACTTTTGTGGTTCAGAATGAATCGGGACTTATTATACTGAGAATCATTTTTTAAGCAGGAGATAGCGTGAGAAATAATAGCTTGTTGTCATTATTAGAATTGTAGATGTGGAGTGGCAGTTCATGAGAATTGTTACATAATCGATAATCAAAGTGACTCAGAAAGTGATGGTTCTAGCTCGTCAACTGAACCCTGGTTCTGTGAACCTTGCTTATATGGTCTTAAGGAGCCACCGTACTGCGAGCTGTGCCCAAATCGATTTGGTGCTTTCAAAAAAGCTGGTAATTTATATTTATATTATCCAGCATTTGTGATTCTGAATTACAAAATATGAACCGAAGATATGCTTCAAAAGATGACTTTTGCTTGTGATTAAGTTGTTAAATTGTAGCTAAGCATTAAAAGTTTTCATTTTATTGTTCATGATATATATTTACGTGAATCCATATAGAAATCATCTTTGCATCGTTTGAAAAAATTCTTATGGTCAGTCCTTGCAGATATTGGTGGTGGCTGGGTGCATTTACTGTGTGCGCTTTATACTCATGGTATTACATTTGGTGATGTTGAGCGCTTATCAGCTGTCAGCTGGCAAGAACAAGATTATAAGTTATTTGGCAAAAAAGTATGATTTTTATGAAATTTTACACATCAATTCATTCATATATTCTTCGAAAATGTAAGTGATGAAAATATTGAAGTTACCATTTTCAGTGCAGTTATGTTGTTCTTTGAAATTTTTTTTAGCAAGAAATAGAAATAGGCGATGAGCAGCATCTTTATTTTAGGCTTGTGTCGCATGTTCTGATCCGTTGTTAGCACGTACTGGTATTGCGGTACCATGTGATGCAGCACTGTGCAAAAACCATCTCCATGTTACTTGTGCACAGAAGTAGACGTTTATTTAGTAATTCGTATGTAAATTTTTAATTAAAAAGAAGGAAAAATAGTAGGTAAAAATTTTCAGGCTAGGTTTGTTGGTCGATAACACGGAGAATACCAACCCTACAAATTCATCAGACACCAAAAAGAAAAATAGTAGCTGGTGACCTTTCTTATTTTATTTTGGTCGTTTGTTTAAACTCTCGATTATTTTTTGTCTCAGTTTGGAACTTGCATTTTAAGTGAAGAGTGGCTGTGCTTGCTTAATAGCGATAGATTTTGGGGTGAAAAATTCATTTGGTCGGACAAGTATCATGTGATTGTAGTGAGATAGTTTCAGTCTTACATCGTGTGATGTTGAGACCGTTGACCCACTTTATTTGACTTGTAAGCGTCATGGAAATGAAGCTTTAATGAGACAACGAAAAGCAGCGTAAGTAACTGCAATTTGTTTAATTTTTCATACATTTGTGTTTCATTAAATTAAGTTTCCACATTTAACGCAATACAATAAATATATAATAAGCACTTTTCCTTCAAGCTTCATTATCGCTGAAATATTATTTTCCATCATTGTTTTAGACTGATTTTTTGAAGTTAGTATAATCATTTGGTGATATTTAAGATGTGCTTTGGTATACGCTCAAGAAGAAGCTCGTATGTTGAAAATTCGAAGACGAGTGTTGAATGATCGAGAAGAGCGAAAAAGGTTGGTTATTCGTAGGAAGGTTTATTTAAAATTTATGTTGGATGGAGCAGTTTATATCTTGACTATGACATGCTGTTGCATAAAACATTCATAAATTTCAGAATACAAATGGCAGAAAGGCATAAAAAGGCACTGAAAGACTTGGAAGGCATCACAATTGTGTGGCCTGAGGTTTCTTTTAATTTTACTTGAAATCGATTGGATCATAATATTTAACTGGAGTTTTAGTAATATAAATTGAAGACAATTTTTCCCTCTAAAGTTATTTTTGCTCTTATATTATTGTAATTTTGTTTAAATAATATGATTTAAGCATAGTAAATAATTAATAATAAATATATCATTTGTGATTACTTCAAATAACAAGCTTGCATAAAGAAGTTCAAATATTGACTTTATGCAGAGCGACAACAAGCGTCCCCGTATGCTTCATACCAGTCCCCAGTATCTCGAATTATTTTTGGAGAAGGCGGAAAGTAACGGAAAAAGTCGCCAGAAATTTCTGGAAAGTTTTACCAGGGTTGATGGTGCTCAATTGCCGTACTTACCTCCCGGTTTTTCTAGTGAATTTATTGAGTGAGCAAGTTCTTTTAACCAGTTTTGTATGTTGTGCTTCGCAAAAATATTGAAGTATGGAACGTTTTGAGTACTGTTGTTGGTGCAGGGCAAATGTTAGAAATGCTGAGCATATTAATTATCGCCATCCATATTATATTAAACTTCTAGTTTTGCTACTATTCTTTTTGTCCTATTTTCAAACGAATACTTTTTTTTCAAGGTATTTCAATCATCGGGAAAACTATATTATCGAGGAAACAAAGAAAGTAGAGACTTTGAAACGTAAAAATGAAAGCTTAGAAACGGAACATAAAAAACTTTTGGAACTATTACAAGCAGTTCGTTTCCCGCAAGCTTTTTAATTTTTCAGATTAGTACAAAAGACAGGCAGTAGACTAAATTATCTTTCTGCTTTGTCTGGTATTAATTTTAGCTAAGGCCTACTATAAAGTTTTGCATTTAGTTTCATGATCAACTTTTTCAAATGCAACAAATAGAGTTTCAACTCTTGACCATAGTATGCTAAGATCTATCATTCTTTGTATTATTTTGTTTTTCATCAGATTTTTTGTCTCTTTATTTTAGGATGCGTCAAAAATGTTTGCTGATGATTCAACTGTTATACAAGACTGGTATGACACACTTCATGCTTTGGGACTTCGAAAACTTCCGAAAGAAAAGCCAACAGCACCTACAGAAAATAAAACAAAGTATCAAAATCACATTGCGATTTTAATATGGTTTTTTTTTTAAAAAAAACTGTATGATCTTGAATTCTTAGTGTTATGTAATTTTTATGCAATCAAGGACAATAAAGCTAGTGTGTTACTGTTTAATATGAAATAACTGATAACCTTATTTACTTTTATCTTTTTTCAGGAAAAGTATGGCGAAAAAAGTAACAAGTGTGTCAAGTCCAGATAAATCTCAGAAGAAAGTTCAAATTTCACCAAAACCGGCAGCCCAGAAAAACGATATAGTAAACATTGATAACGCGAAGGGGACCGACATAAAAATGAGTCTCTGCGAAAAATGCAGAAAGGTGATCATATTTTTAGGTAACGAGGTGTGCTTATGAACAGTCATTTCGCATAGCAAAGATATCTTAAAAATCCATCGCCTTCTTACTAGAAGGATGAATTATAAATGAATAATGCATCCTGCATTTTTGTTCAAGAAGAATTTGGTGTGGGTAGTTACAATATTTTGTCAATAGTCTTTTAAGGAATTTTTACAGATAACTGATGAAAACCCTATGACGCAGTGCAGCGACTGTCTCAGACACTTTCATTTGACATGCTTAGAATCGTCTTTATTTGACTTAACGGAAAATTTGATTACTCAGGGTTGGAAGTGTTCGTTATGTTCAAGTTCAAATAATGACGGAAATAATAACCCGGTAAAAATATTAAATGTAGTGCATTGTGCCAAAAATTAATTTCTTAATGGAAGATTCCAAATTATTACTTATAATCCATTCATCATTCTAAAATTTATATAATTTTTGCTACTTTCATTGTTTACTTTTTCTCTTTGTTCTATCATAATTAAAGATGAAAGGCTAATGAGCAGATTTAAGTAATTTTTTTGATTTGCTTATTTTTTAAGGCACAAAATAAAGAACAACATCGTGATACGTTACCTGGCGCAAAGAAGGCAGAGACCTGCCGAAAAAATTCCACGAAGTCTGCTTCTGTTGTTAGTAATTTATTGTTTGCATATGTTTTGTTCGAAATTGCAGTTGTTATTTTGCTTGTTTGAAATTATTTGCTTTCTAGCTATGAACTGTGAACCAAAATCTATTGCAGGAAAAGCTCCAATTAATTTATCTCAAGAAGGAGCCTAATAATACAGCGCTGTCATTTAAAAATATATTTTTCTATTTGCAGTGTAGTCAAATACTTCTTTAAGATTGGTATTGAGTTCATTTCACTATTAATGCTTCTGAGCTATTTTTTTCAGTCTTTAATGGACGAGACTGCTTCTACTGGCGCTTCTAGTGTTGCAAGCACTTCAGGTCGTTCTCCAACGACTGGATCCCGTAAACGACAAAATGCAGATCGTAGAGCAAGAAAAACAGTTAGTAATAGTAATGGAGTTCAATCAGATACCAGTCCGGTTAGTTGGGATCTTTTTTATTTAGTTGAGAAACAATTATGATACCAATTTTTTGATTAATAAAGATAAGGTGAACAGAAAATTATAAGCTCCATAGTAATTCTGTCGTTTTGTTTTAGATTGCTTGACTGTAGATTTGTCATTTCAATAAAATTTAAGTATTGTTATGAACCTAACTCTTTCAGATCAATAAAAGTCTTGATGAGTCACCGACACCGGAAGTGGTTAAAAAAAAGCGCGAATGTAGAGTTAATTCGTTGCCACCTACATTGCCAAAGCTTGAGTCAAATGAAACTGCTCACTTAGATGATGTTGCTCAAAATTAAAATGAAATGATACTCGTCATGTTGGGTTTTTGGAAAAAATTTTATTTCGTTTTTTGTTATTGGTTTATTTGGTCTTCTACCTTTAAGGTGTATTCTCTTTATGATAATTTTCTCCAAATAAAACTGGCCATATACTTCGTCAAAATTATTTCTACTTTTTGCTTGTGGATGAAATCCTATCACGTTATATTTCAATGAATCTTTTTCAAAATATATTTTTTATGAATCTGCTAACATACCTCTAAAGTTGTTTGTGTGCACAGGAATGTTAAAAATAGTTGTGTAGGGGATATAAATATTAGTTTTTGTAAATAAATGATATGAAGTATCAGTTTATCTCATGTCTTCTCGTAGTTTCATTCTGTTAAGATAATATGTTTTATTCTAGAGAGCAGCATACGAAACATTAAAATGAGCCGGATCTTGCTGTTTTTGTTTTTATATTTGTTACTATTACTTAGTTTTAAGCTAAAATAGAAAATGTAAGATAGCATGTATGATTTCTGATCATATTTGACAGAATCAACGCGCATTTTATTTATATTCACTTGTCTTTCATTTTCTAGAGAAATAAATGGTTTTACTTGTATTTAAAGATCTCATCACAATTGCAATTTCTCTTCACAACTTTGTACTCTTACTTCGATTATTTGAAGTTTCTCAGTATAAATGCGAAAGAATTAGTCAATTCGTGGGAGGGTGGGTGACATATTTTGATCTGCAGATCCATATTTCATGAAGTTAATCAAGTTTGTGTGGTGGGATTTTTTCTGGCTTAGTCCCTGCATTTTATCATCTTGGTTCTTCGCAGATTAGGTAATCTAAATGTGTAAATATATTAGTAGAATTAGAACTTTGCTTGCTTTACTGCAGTGGAAAGTAATGCCTAATGATAGCAGGGATTTATTGACTGTCGTAATTCAGAACTGTGTTACTCAAACCTTTTTAATGATACCTTATAAGATAGTAAATGTTCTGCCACAATGGATGATGAGTGAACCAGTCTGGAGTTTTTATGGAGCGATGAGATTATGGAAAGGAAGTTTAATTGCACATTTCAGTTTATTTATTTTATATTTTTCAGCACTTTTTGTCATTCCGAGAATATATTATCTGATTTAGATTTGTCCAAACATTAATTTCACTAACTGCTGCTCATGACTTTGCGTGTGTGGATGTAAAATGCCAAAGTTAATGAATGTCATGGCTGAGACATCGAAGAAGCTAGCAAAAGTAGAACATTTCCAACTCATACTCTACAAGCGCATACTCAGGTTTGATAAATGACTTTTCAGTGTACATTCAACTTTAACGAATATCAAGAAAATTAGCTCTAAATTTTAAAAATAGTTCACTTACATTCTTATTTGTCGTAACTTTGCATATCCTCGATATATCATTTCATATATTATTCAAATTTTATAAGGTGTCATTAGAAGAACATAATAACTGCCACTTATGAATATTGAAACCACAAATTGTGTTTTACCTTATATCCACTACTAACAATTTTTAGCTCAAAAATTATTTTAAATTTACGATCTGAATATTTATATGAAATTTCAAGTGCTTTTTGATTTAAAGGAAAGAATATTTTGGTACTTTTAGATTACATTATGGTTTACCGAGCGAAATGCGCGCTATAGGAGATCAGTATGTCAAGGATGAGTTCCGAAGACACAAAAATATTTCGCAGGATCAGGCTCTAATATTTTTAAAGGGATGGACGGTACATAATACAAATTTCTTGCTTCATTAATACATCTTTGGTGCTGCAAACTTTTCTTACATGCATTTTGTTGCTTGCCTGGAGTGGATGTTGTTAGTATTCTAAGAAAAAAATGAAGCGTTTTCCTTATTGTTAGAGAATCAGTTTATCATCTTAATTATTGTATAATTAGCAAAAATTCGCAAGTATATACTTTTTTTCAGTTTGTTTACTTAGACTAGCAAACTGCACAACTACAACTATAAAAAATATACTTTCTTAACATTCACTCAGGTTTTGTATTTCACTCAGGATTACTGCACTACTCTGTCGAAGCAATTATCTTGCAAGAATATTTCGAGCGGTACAATAGGAGCGAAATTGGATCCTACATTACTGGACTGCTTACAGCATGACCAACTTTTGCAGCTTTACAGATTGAAGGTGGAAACGCAGAAATTCAACAAAAACTCTTGACAATTATAAGGAAGTTGATTTACGATTCTTCCATTAGATATTTACTGCATACAAATGGTTCCGTGTATGTTGTATATCAGGACTAATCTCATTTTAACGGGATGTAGAAGAGATGATTTGTGAACGGTAATGATGATCGTTGCAAAGATCATATCTTGTTATGTATAAATTATTTTACATATATACAATATTTGTAATCATTATTCGGGAAATAGTTCAATCGTTAGCTTTTGTTCAGAGCAAACATAAGAAAAGTATTAATACTAATATCACTTTAGTTTAATGGTGATTTTATTGCTTCTGTTCATTTAGAATGACATAACTCTTGTAAGTTAATCAAATAATGCAAAACGGCATGTAATAAATGTGAGCACGTAAACAAAATGCAAATACGAAAGCGATAATAAAATAGAGATCTGATAAAGTGAGTTGCAAGATTCTCAACATTTCCTACAAATTTCATTCAACAAGCTACGAGGTTTTCAACTTCTTTCTACAAACATTAGCATATTTCATATACTAGCAAGCTGGGTAACTTGCATAGCAGCTCAGCTATCAGTCAGTAGGTTGCTGGTCCAAAATGCGCCAGAAATATGATTTTGAAAATTTGTTTAATAAAATTCAAAATTTAGTGAGAATTCGGTATTCGCTATGAAATACAAAGTAGTGAGGACACATACAATGAAATACAATACAAAGTAATGAGAACACATTTCTATAATATATATATATATATATATATATATATATATATATATA